TCTAGGAGTAGCCTACCCTAATGTTTTAAGGTCTTTCTTATTCTTTATCCTTTCCTTAGTAAGACTATCCCTACTATAATGGAGTAGGTAGTCCTTACTTTGGATGTTAAGGGACATGTGAGGGACAATTTGACTTTGAAGGCCATTGTGGGATGTAATAAGCACATATAAGGGACCATCATCATTTTTCGAAAGGGACTTGATTCGTAAAGGCAACCATAAGGGACTTTGATGATTTTTTCTATTTGAGGGACTTGCTTTATACACCCCACTTAACCATTATTCGTAGGCAACTTGAGGGATATCCTTAGGAAGTGAGACGGCGATTAAAATCGACTTACGTGTGTGACGTGTTTATTTTAATTATCTTTATTTAAAAGTGATCTAAATTTATTTTAATATTACATACATGTTGTTACACTCCCTAATTACTAACCATAATAATAATTAAATAATTAAACAACTTTACATCCAAGAAACAATTACAACATAATAAGCAAAATAATTAAATAGCAAAGATAAATAAAATATAAATAAGCAATAATAAATAATAAAGGGGGTTAATTCTAAGTTTACTCGGCAAGACATCGCATCTTGTGCCTACGTATCCTTACGGGAGTGGAATCAGAGTAATCGTAGTTCCCCTCAATAGGGAGGTTAGAAACTTCTTGACTGTGGTCAAGGTCTCAAGGGGAATAAACGCATCTTAAGGACACGCTTACGTGGAGTGTAGAAACTCCAAATCTCTACGTTGAAATGTTAAGTTGTAATTAGGGTTAAATTAGGGATTCCACGGCGGGAAACCCTAAAATGAGCGCGGCGGCTCTTTGACCTAATGCTAAGGGTAAAATTGTAATTTTGCCTGCGGCGAGGCATTTGTGAAAATTAGGGTTTGTAGTTTTGAGGATTTGAAATTGAATGTGTGAAGTTTTACGGACTATTGGCGCGGCGGCCAAACAGTTAGACCTAACCTTCGGATGTGTGCAATGTGACAGAAATAATAGTAAACGCGTGAGATAATTGAATCATGCGAACAGAGAGATAATGTCATAATTTAAACCATGCAAGCAGAAATTTAAAGGCAGAATTTAAAGAGCGATTGTTAAGTTCGCGAGGTTACATGAGAGGAGCAGATACAATATGATAATGAAATTTGAATTGAACAATAATAAAATAAAATAAATAACGGTTCTAGTTATTATTTAAAAAAAAAAGATTTTAGTTATTATTTTAAATTTATCTAAAAAAAGTTTTTCTTAAAAATAATAGGTTTTCATATTAATTTGGAAAAGATGTTAATGTTATTTATTTTAAAAAACAGATTTTTATATTATAACAAATTTTAATAAATTAATGATAACAATAATAATAATAATGGTAATAATAATGATAATAATGATAATAATAATAAATAATGATAATAATAATAATAATAATAATAATAATAATAATAATAAAGCAATAATGAATTTTAAATGTGCCAAATAACCCAACAATGTTGCTAACGCAGAAATGCGCTCATCGCAACCAGATCTAAATCGGACGAAACAAAATTTATCGCAAAGAAAAAGAAATTAAGCAAAAAATAGTATTATTGCTCACACAAAAATGCGATCATCGCAACCAGATCGAACTAACACAAATGTCACGCGTCATGCACACAAATGTGCAAACATCGTATCGACATAATTCGATCAAAAATCTTATATATATAAACTCTAACAATTTAAAAATTATATATATATAAACGTAACAGTAATAGATAAAGAAAAAGAAATAACGGTAATAGATGAAGAAAAAGGAATAACGGTAAAAGATGAAGAAAAAGAAACAACAGTAATAGATGAAGGAAAAGAAATAACGGTAAATGATGAAGAAAAAGAAACAATAGTAATGGATGAAGAAGAAAACTAAATAACGGCAAACGGCACTCACTCCTCTTAGGTTTTTTTTCATTCTCTCCTTTTTTCCAACAAGGCAACACATGTATATATAGGGAACAAATTAGGGTTAACACCAAATTGTCAATAATGTCCCTAAAGCCCATTTTAAAGCCCAAACTAAATAATTAGTTAAAAATAATTAAAATAAACTTAAAATAAAAACTAATAATCCTATTGATTCCTAAAATAAAAAATATTATAAAAAGAACAAAATTTTTTTCAATATTTTTTATTTTATGATTTTTTGGATATTTTTATGAATAATTTAGAAAAAAGTGAAAAAAATAATATTTTAAAAAATGATTTAATTAAAATACGAAAATAATAATTAAATAATAATAAAAAACTATTTTTGTTAGTTTTTTAATGAAAGATAGAAAAATTTAGAGTAAAAATAATAAAAAACAAAAAAAAGTGACAAAGGTGAGATTCAAACTCTCAACCTCTCACACTCATAACTCCTTACACATGTCCTCCTGCCAATTGTGCCATTTTTACCTTTTAGAAAAAAAAATGCATGCCATATGATATTTACCTGCAAAAAGTCAAACGACTACACAAATTTGTTAGTAATTGATTAAATGCAATGAAATGCGACGACAAATCTTAGGGCAAAATTTGGGGTATTACAGTTATTATGATAATATTTCTCACCCAACCTCTCTTTGATGTTGGCAAAAAAAAATCATGAAGTTTGACTTTGGTTTGACCACAGTTGACCTCAGTTTGACCTTTTAACTGCATTGACTGCTTTTGACTTATCTGATCATCTGACTGAGCAAACTTTTGAGAAAAGTCTTGAAACTTGACATGGGGGTTCTTATACACATATAAGATGTTATGAAGCTCACTTGAAGTCTTGGAAGTCCATTTAGCCTGATTAAAGTCAAAACCCTAGTTTTGGATGCACTGCTTAGGAGGTGCATTGTCTGAGGGAATTGTCAACTCTTCTGACCAATTGTGAATTTTGTGAACCTTGTGAACCTTCTTGGAACACAAAGTCTTGTATTGTGAGGGCAAATTTTGGGGTGCAACAACGGCCCCCACTTCGAAGACACCTTTATCGCTCCAAAGCCACTATCGTTTACACCAGAAAACCACCGTCTTCCCTATCAACGCATCACTTTCAGTACCGCTACGAAAACTACCTTCACAAAGCCTGCAAAAAATCATTAAAAAAACTGATTTAAATAAATCTAAAATAAATTTTTGATCTAAAATATATAATATAGTTTAATTTAGATTTTAAAACTTGCTCATAAAAAAAATTGATTTAGACTTAATAATTAAAAATATGTAATATATTTTGTTTTAATCCTCCTCTTTTATAGTCATAAAAAAAACGTGTATATAAAAATACCAAAATTAAATTAAAAATATTCTAAGTTCAGATTTATAATTAATCTAACTCTTTTAATAAAATATATAAAAAATAAGAAAAATAAGTTCATGTTAATCAATATTTTTTTTAACTTATAAACATCAAAATAAAAATATGCTTAATTTTAATTATAATTTCATTTTTTTAACAGTATATCCAAAAATCCATAAAAATACATATATCAAAAACCCAAAAGAAAAATTATTTCTAATTAATTATTAATTTAATTTAAGTAAATTAGAGTTTTTAGAATTTATCTGAAAAATAACAAGTTTAATTCAGGATTAATATTTGAGCTTAATTATTAACGCTTTATTTAATTAAAAATTAATTCTTCTTTTCATTATTTAAAAGCTCACGAAAATCATAAAAATGAAAAATCCTTAATATAGATCCAATTATAATTTTTTGCAAATACCTCACAAAATTCTCAAAATGAATAAAAACAACAATCTCTAACTATTTGAACTAAAAACAAATTAACTACTCTAATATCTCATGTTTATATGTCGATTCAATATTCTCATTTATTCACCGTTTTATTTTATCGCATTCCCCTCCAAAGGAAAGGTTCACATATTTGACCACCGAGTCAATGACCTACATCCTACCCTTCTAAACCTTAAAACTTTGAGTCGCCGTACTCATACTTAGGAGTCCCGCCGTGGACATTTTATCCTTTTATCCTAGCCTTAGGATTAGGAGTCGCCGCACTCCATATAATTTTCCCACCGTGGAGTACTTACTCCTCACCCCTTTAAATCAAACATTAACGTAGAAATAGGAGTCGCCGTACTCCAAAGTAAGCGCTTCCCTATGAACGCTCACTTTCCCCCAGGAACCTTGACCATAGTCAAGAATTTCCTCATCTCCCTATGTGAGGGGAACTACGAATACTCTGATTCCATCCCCTACCCAGGATACGTAGGCACAAGATGCGAGTCTTGGCGAGTATACTTAGGACTAACCCCTTTAGGTCCTTCTCTTCACCCTTAACCCTTAGCATAACCTTAAACAGATAACATAGCAATAACAAATATTTAAAACAAGAGGTTCCTGTAGAGTACTACAGAGGTTTAGGATGCTAATACCTTCCCTAAACTTAACCAACCCCCGAACTTTAGATCTTTCCCCGCGTTGTGTTTACAATGAAAAATAGGTTTTCCCCTTTCTTTAACCTTTCCTTCGGATAAATCAAAGACCGGTTGTAAATGAATTAAGATTCAAGTTAATCAATAGCTTGATATCAAAATTTCACCGCAACAGCGCTATTTACCAGTGAGTGGTATTATTGGACTGATCCTTTGGTGGGAAATGTTCTTCATTTTAGATAATGAAACCATTCTATTACTACCAACCCAAAGAAATACGACCTCTCTGAGATATACGGTTTATGCCGGAAAGGTATGAAGTTGGACTAATTTGGAAACATTGGGCAATTTACTTTATACCTACAATTTCGTCTGGTTTTTGGTTTCTAGTCTAATTTTATTAGTTGCCATGATTGGGGCTATAGTACTGACTATGCATAGGACTACTCAGGTAAAAAGACATGATGTTTTCCGACGAAATGCTATTGATTTTAGGAGGACTATAATGAGGAGGACGACAGACCCACTCACGGTCGACTAAAAGGAAAGTCGCCCGGAGATATTAGTTCAAATCCAATTCGTGAGATGGCAGTGATCTATAATAGGAAGAATTCTTCTGCAGCTGATCCAGCGGTAAAAGATTATCTTTCAACCGAGGGGAATTAGTCAATCAATGAAAAAGAAGAAGTTGTTTAGTTCAAGAAGTAGTTTGGCTTCCCTTCCCGAATGTTGGTTTGAAGTTGACCCAGTAGCAGGAGTTGAACACAGCGGATCAATATCCGCTGCTACATCCGCTGAAAGATCTGTTGCCAGTTCTGATCGATGGGGATAGGCATGAAGGCCAATCATTCCGGTTATCTGAGTTTCCCTCGACAATGCCGGAGATGTTCTCAGATGCTCTTAGATCGGGGGTTGAGGTGGCATATCATAAGGAGTAGCTAGTTTCGAGAAAACCGAAGCTAAGGAGAAAGAGAACTACTCGACTAAGAAGTCAGTGTTGAAGGGGGACTAATCCCTCTCTTCTAGCCAATACCAGGGAAAGAATTTCTAACCAATTCAATTAATAAGCTAAAGAGAAGTTACAGAAGTACGGAAGTGACAGAGAAGTCAACCTTGTTTGCCAAGGGACTAAACTATCTGCTCTATCTGATACTGAACTAGATGCCGCAAAGCCCCAACTCTGGCTCAAGAAAAGAAGGGGTATCCATGAGATGAGTGTCCGTAAGTCGTAACGTTGAGTTATAGATGTGCTCCCATCTCTTTCTTTAGGGGAGGTGGAAGCTCGACTAGGAAGGTTTGGAGGGAAAGATGATAATAGATCGACTTAGAGCGGTAAGCTTATTCTCTGGTTTCAAGATCAAGAGTGTTACGCAAACAAAGAAGGGATATACACTTGGGTACGAGACCAACTAAACGGAATGGAAATGCAGCTCAGTCAAGAAAGAGATTCAGTTAGGCGGAAATGGCATATCCAGGGCACGACACAGAGGATGTTCCGGTATTGTAAGATAGGAACGGGAGTGAAAGAATGCATTGGAGTAAGTTACAATTGACATTGAAGAAGAAAAGACTAGGCGCCAAAGACAAGGGCTCTTTCTCTAGTAGTGGACTAATCTTGATATTCCTAAAGCAGTAAGCGAAAAGCACTTGGTTTACAGCCAAGCAACGACAAAGAAAAAAGAGTCCCATGTATTTCTTGATTGGTAAACCCAACCAGCGATTTACAACAAACAAGTCTTTCCTCTTGTTGGGGGGAGCAGTTAAAAAATGAACCAAAGCAAATGAAATTAGAATGGCTATTCCTTGTCTCTGTTATCTCACAAAAGAGACTTAACACAATAATCCATCGAAGCTCGGCGTACGCGATTAGAGTCAACTTGACTACTTTAACTTTCCATTACCAAAATGAAAGAAAGTAAACCTATTTTCCTTTTGAAGAGAATATGAGCCTATGTGTAATAGGGCAGTTCGGGGGGGAGAGTGAAAGCTTTTCTTTTAAGCCTAGTAGCATGGTTGGTTTAAGTCCAATCCGTATGAGTGCTAGTTATTTCAAGCTAACAGTGCAGTAAAGGTTCATTCCACCCCTAGAAAAGCGGTTGAAAGCAGTCTGTCGGTCTCAGTCCTGGGCAAACCAACCAGTACGGTACCTTAATCTTTCTAGTAACTAGATAGTAAGTCAGTAGTGAGCCAATCCACTAAAGAAAGGGTGAATTCCCCTACAGAGTCTTTCTAGAGAAAGCAAACCGCTTCGCTTTCCTGAACGATTCACTTCTCCTTTATAGTTCAGAATTCATTCTATTGACTTGTGGTTGTTGACCAACAAACAGAAAGGGATAAAGAGAAAGATGCACAAATGAAAGGAATAAGGGCTACTATAGACTAGAGGGGAGGCCTTCTCATACCCAGTTAACTGATTTAGGAGTCTTCCCAGAGAAAGTCGATCTGACTTATTTAGAAAGCTAGAACGGAGAGGGAACACCCGGTTAAATATAGTTTCCTGGTACATAATTCGTTGCTATTGTACTTGGCAAGTAAGCCCAGAAGGAAGAAGTTGTAGCTGCTACCGCTACGTGGGCTTCTTCTTAGTATGCTCGAAAGGAAAGCCAGTAACTCTAGAGTAGAAAGAAATAGAATTGAGTATGATAGAACCTGTAGTTTTGAGCTTGAACGTCTTTCAGCTCTCACGACCCAGCTGCTGTTGAATCTGCGTAAGGAGATGCCGATGAGGGTACAATAATAGAGAAGAGAAAAGAATTAGCTTTGGTTCAGAGCTTGAATCATAATATCCTTCAGTCACTCCAGGTGATAAGTTCGGCTAAGCCGGAAAGAGTTAGATCCCCAGATGAGATGCGACAATGTCCTAATCAAAGCAGGCGCAAGGTCAATGATTTAGCTCAAGGCTCTTCTTCTTGATAGCATGGGTCTCAGAAGGCCCTCGCTCTAAAGGGGATGCTTGATGGCAGCTATCCTGCCCTGTCTTAGATAACTGGAATTGAATTGGTAAGGTTCGCTAGCTCTTTCTTTTGAGACGAATGAATGCCGAAGAAAGGAAGCTAGTTAATAAAGCGTGATAGGGAAAGGCCTTGCCTTTATTACCAGGAAAGATAAAATGGGCCAAATCTCCTGCTAGAGAAGAAGCTCTTAGGGAATCGATCTAGACTAGATGAGATGCCGGTGCCATTAAACTAGCTGCCAGAACGAGTTCAAGAGTTGAGGATCCGGGTAGTTCAGTCACCCCCGGGGGGAAAATCATTCCATTCACTTGTTTAATTGCTAAGAAGAATAGCTTTTCTCTTTCGACTGGGAACAACTTACCTTTGGTGCTTTTTCTTTATATAAGTAGTAGTTGATCCCGTAAAGGCAAGGGCGAATCGAGTTAGCATCCCGTCATTCAAAGAGAAAGACCCGGCGCATCTCTTCCTTGCCCGAGAGATTGACCAAAACTTGCTCCCCTTCTTTGGGCCATTCGGGGTTTGTGGCTAATACGAGAAGGGAGGGGTCTTCAAGAGAAAAGACGAGAGCAGATCAGTTACTAATTGCAATAGGAAAGCCACTCTAGCCTATAGTCTTTGTCTTGAATCATAGAGGAAGGACAAGAGCTCGGACAACAACTATCAAAACTGGAAATGCACCTGGAACCACACTGCTTTAGCTGCTTGAGTACTCGTATCTGCTCCTTCTATCATTGGTGTGGTGGTATCGTATATAAGATCCCGGCTGCATTTAGGAGTTATCTTTTCCTCTAACTATCAATTTCATACATAATATAGATGGTATCCTAGCATAGAAAAGAGATCAAAGGAAGAGAGCAAACATGATCAATAGTACAATAAGTATACAGAAAAAAGAGAAGGTAGAATTGGACAAATAGCAGCTTTTCCAGTCTCAGATGCGGCAACACCCATTACCGGTGTTAGCATGTTAGCACTTTCCCTCTTTTCTCGCACGAGGCAAGCAAGGCCTGGAAGAGTTAATCGTCGAACAGGAGGAAGGAGGTACATAAGCAGAGAAGCTCTCCAGCTAAACCATTGGCTGAGGTAATAAAAAAAAGTCTTTCCTTTTTAGCTGCTTGAAATAGATTCTATTAGACTCATATTAATTTCTTATTTGAATTGGGCGGGCTATAACACGATAAAAATAAAGACACTCTTTTTCTTCGTGACCCATAGTCTTCCATTCCGATATGAGTAAGGGGACTGGAAACATAAGGATGCTCTCACTTCTTTCATGAGTTCGTGAGTTGGAACAGTTGTTTATATTATTGGTAATTTATTAGTTATGAGTTCTTAAAGTTAAAGAAAGGGAAGAAGACTCTTCAAACTAGCGTAGCATACAGGATTGGGTGAGATCAAAGACCTAGAAGTGGACTCTATCTTTCATAAGACTTTCCTAAAGCGCTATCGGGCTAGGAGGGGCGGTTATTCTGATGAGTTAACTTAGTTCATTAGTTCTAGCTATCCTCGGCTGTAGCGACCACGAGGGAACAAGCGGAGTTGGAGAAGGTAGAAGTTAAGCGGGTTATGGCATATGTAGTTTTTTAAGACTTATTCTTCTTCCCTGAGTTAGAGTTTGTTTAGGAGTGTGAATAGCTACCAAACGAGTGTAATACACACAAAGTATAGTACTAGAGTGTAGTTTACCGAAAGGATAACTAGAGCTAATAGAATGCCAATCCAAGCCGTTTCAGGAAGTGACCAATTAACCAACCAAAAAAAATACTTTGCATCGAAACATAAAAATGTATACTAATATATATTGCTAACATTTAACTTGGTTAAATTAAATATAATTAAAATAAAAAGCAAAAGGATTGCTTCCCAGACGAGGAAATAGCTGTAACAAAGAGTAAGAGGAGGGCAGGATCATCTTTCACTCTACTTAGATGAAGCCTCTGAATCCAGATCGAAGAAAGTCAGGATCGACTTAGGCCCGGAGGATGTATCTCATCTTACCATACACGCCCAGTGGGGAAGATATATTGCTGCGTAATGATCGTACCCTAAAGACTATGTACATCTTAACTGAACAAGTACTAACACTAAGAGAGTCACCTATGCTCAGACAAAGGGACTAGGAAGATAGATAATGGTTTATTCTTGAGTCGTATCCAGAAGGCATTATATCGCCATAGGACTACCTTGTTAGAGGTAGTGCCTATCTATCCCTTGTCATTGCAGGCCTCATCCGTTAAGGCTAAGACGTGGATGCACTCTAGGGCGCGAACCTTTTCTTTTTTTTAAACTAAAAACATAAGATGATAGGCCGAAGTTGGAAATGAAAGGTCCCGAGGTCCATAAAATAAAGGCATTATAAGCCCAAATATCAGCCTGAGATAAGAATTATGACCTAAACGCATGTATTGTGCTGCACGACTGGTAAGATAAAGGAGAGCCTTCCAAGTGTGCATCAGACTAGTAAATAGATTAACTACCAACTAAGCTAATAGGATGGTGGCATAGAAAGGAAGTCCCCTTCAGAGAGGTGGGCCGGGTATGAGCGAGTCGAGACCATGGATACGACCTTCTTAGTAGATCGCCAAGGTGAGACTCTTGAATCAAAGGTAGACAGCCTAAGAGGCTTCATTCCAAGGGGCAAACTGTAGTTTATTCAAGAAGATCTGGGCCCCACAGCCTAGTAGAGCGCAAAAGACTTTCCCGAAAGAAAGATTATTTTCTATTAGTAAGAGAATCTCAGAAGCTAAGCTTTGAAAAGGCACTGCTCTAACCGGCGTATGTGCCTAGATTAGGACTAGCTGCTTAACCGGCCACTTGACTCTTTCCTATCCCTATGAGAAGCATCAAGGAATTCTTATATGACTCCAGGCTCAAGGCCATGGATCACTCTTATTATAGAGAAATCCTTTTATTGTATGGAACTCCTCGTACTAAAACCTGTCCTCCACTATATCTATTTTGAGAAAATCCCAGGCAGGAGTAACAGAGCCGGCTACAAGTAAGGATACAACGCATCCATATAAGCTACTACAACATCAGGCAGGGCAAGGGTACTTTCCAGACTAGAATCTACAAAAGATAGAACCTAAATAAGAAGCCTGAGAAGCCTTATGTTAGAAAAAAGGTATGCAGGGGTTCTGGGTCTATTATAACCAGAAGGGGGGAGAACGGATTTTGGGACGTGTTTGTCCCACAGTCTGGTGAAATGTACGACCTCCAACTTAACCTAGCCCAATATAGTGTAAGCGAGGGATTAAAAACCTAGTTGATCACTTAAAAAGTCAAGTAGAAAATCTTATTATATTTTTATTCCCAACATGCAGAAGTACAAAACCAATTAATATAGAAACTAGAGTGAGTTGGATGGAACCTGA